GATTATATTTCTGATACGCATAGTGTAATGATTTAATAATTATTAAAAATAATATAATAAATACAAAATATGATTGATACATAATTTAAAAATAATATTATTAATGTTAATAATTTAATACATTAAAAAGTATATCTTTAAATTTAATTAATTATTAAGTAATTATAAATAAAGAATTAATATAAAATATTTAAAAATTTTTATTTAAAATAAACTTTCATCTATTAATTATATATAAATTTTATAGTATATAATAATATTTTACTATTGTAATTAAAAAAATAAATTAAAATAATTTTTATTATTTATTATAATAAAATAATAATTATATAACTATTAGATTTTATTTATTTATTTTTATATAATTTTTATATATTTAATAAATAAATTAAAAAAATAATAAATATGATTAAAATTAAAAAATTAAAAAGATAAGGGAAATGTTAAAAATTATGAATTAAAAAAATAAATATATATATATATATATGTATATATATATATATATATATATATATTTATATTTATATATTTTTTAAATTTATATATTATTTGTATATTTATTTTAATAATAAACACTTAAATATAAATATTTTTTATTATTTAGTATTTAATATATTATAAAAAAATTATAATCATAAATATTTATTCATTTTATATAAATAATATTAATTTCTTAATTTTTATAATAAAATTTATTCTTTTTTTTTTTAAAAAAAAAAATATATAGTTTTTTTAAAATTTAAGTCTCAAAAACATATATTATTTATATTTTATTACTACATAAATGGCATATAATATCATATATTTTATATTTTTATTTTTAATAAAAAATTAAATTTTTTTTTATTTTTTTTAGTTTTACCTATATAATCTAAATAATTTATAATTTTTATAATATTTATAATTTAATATAATAAATTTTTATTAAATATTTTTTTTTATTAAAATAATATTTAATTATTATTGAAAAATTTATTATTAATATTATATACTAGAAAATTAATTTTATCCTTTTATAAAAATTATAAAAATAGTATAATTTAATAAATCGAAATCAATAATATATATACATAAATAAAATATAAATATTTTTTATCTTAATATTATCTAATAAGAACATTAATATATAAAATTAATATTATTTATTTTATATAATATCATATATTATTAAATATAAATATATTTTAAAAATAATCTAAAAATATTTTAAATTATTAATAAAAGTTAGGATAAATAATTAAATAAAATATAATCTATATTTTATATTTTAAATTTTTTATATTTAAAAGTTTTTTTTTTTCATATTTTTCATTTATTTTTTGATAAATAATATATTTTATTTTAACATAAAAAGTTAATAACTTACTTATTATTAATACAAATTATATATAAGGTTATATTTTATTAATTAAATTAATTTTATTATAAGTAAAATTAATTTCTTTTATAAAAATAAAAAATTTTATTTAATTTATTATATTTATAAAAAATATATTAAAAAAAAAAATAACTATCTTTAAAATATAAAAGATAATAAATCAAAAATTATATAAAATGATTTTTATATTGTTCATTTTACTAAGCATAGTATCTACATAAATCTTTTTTTATATAGATAAATATAATGATTGTTTATTATAAAATAATTGTGGCGACTAATACATGTAAATAATTTAAACATAGAGTGAAGATATTAAAAATTATAGAAATTGTATTATGGAATCTTCATAATGTTAATATTAATTTAAATAATGTGATTCTGATAATTGCTCAATTGATTGTTTAATATATGACTGCTTAAATGTTTGTAAAAAATTTACATTAAAAAATTCATTTTTATTATCATATAATAAATGTAGATATTCTTGCTTATATGAGTAAAACACAATTGCAGATAATAATTGTGAAAATAATTATGATACATATTTATATAATTAATATTATTTGATTTCTATCATTTTTTCATTTGTAGGAGCTATTTTAGTTGTAATATTGTGCCTTTGTCTTTATTTTAAAAATAAACGTTTAAGATTGCAATAATTAAAAAATCAATAAGAGCTAGAAAAAGTTAAAGAATAGCCATATTTTGAATAATTATATCCTGATTTGTAAAAACAAGAAACATAGTAAACTCATAATTTATAATAAGAATAATAATAAAATTATTAATAATAAAATTTTTAAACTTAATAGTATAATTATTAGTTTATAAGTACTTAAAAAATTAAAAAATTAATTAAAGATATTGTTATTAAGTGAAAATTATGAATTATATTTATATATTTTTGTTTTAATTATGAAAATTTTTTAAATTTTTTATAATTTTTAATAAAAAAACTTATATTTAAAAAAAAAAATCAAATAATTATATATATATATATATATATATATAATACGAATACTATAATAAATAGGTTTTTGATATAAAATATATTAAAAAGTAAAATTAAATGTATGTGTAACATAAAATAATAATTAGCTTAAAATAAAGATATATTTTAATATAATTAATAATATTTAATTTCATATATATATATATATATATATATATATTATTTATAATTGAAATAATACTTTTTTATATGATTTTAAAAACTTGTAATTTGAATAATAAAAAAGTATTATAAATAAAAATGTATCTATAAAAATAACGAAAATAAAAATAATTTTAATATAACTCTAATCTTAATAATAATCATTATTAAAATTAAATATGAATATATAATAAATGAAATATATATTAAAATTATTAAAAATATAATTTTTATGAAAATTTTATATATTATGTACTAATTATTATTAATTTGTTTTTTAAATTTTAACAAGAAAATAGAAATAATACTATATATATTTTATTATAAATACAAATATATTTTAAATAAAATTAATATAAATAAAAAATTGATTAATTAATAATATTTATTTAATTATATTTCTTTAATTTCTTAAAATAAATATATATTTTTATTGTCTAAATATAAATAAATTTAAATTCTAAAAAAATATATATATTTCAAACAAAATATAAATAATACATATCTTACACATTTACGATTAATTAATTAAAATAATTAAATTATAATTTAATAATAAAATATATAAATATTAGTAATATATCTAATAAAAAATATATTGATATCTAAAAAGATATATTTATATATTAATTTGTTTTTGTATATATAATTTTTACAATATTTTTTAGTATTTAAATATTAAATTTAATCATATATAATTTTTAAAAAATAACTTTATTATATTTAGATATAATTTTTTTTCTTTAATATATCATTTATATATGATATATATATATAATATTTTTATTTTTAAATAATATAGATTATACAAATAAACATATTTAGAATGTATATATAAATCCTCATAATATTTATTTAAAAGTATTAAATAAAATGGGTTTTTAAAAAAATAAATTTGTATAAAATTTCTTTAAAGCCTCTATATTATAATTAATAAATTTGAAATTATAATATAAAAATGTATAATATTTTAAAAATTTAAAATTATTAATAATTTCAAAAAATATTTTTTTATATTAATTATATATTTTATCGATAAAAATTTTATAAAAAAGTACTTAAAATGATTTTCATTTCAACCAATTTTTTTTTTAATTATTTTAAAATTAAATATGATTATATTTTTAAAAAATAAATAATTAATAAATTTCTAATATAGAAAATTATATTATTAAGTAATATAAATAGATAGTATTATATAATTATAAAAATAATATTTTTAATTTTATATTAGGATTAGAATTAAAATTAAAAATAAAAATAAAAATAAAAAAAAATATATCTTAAATAATATTATTTTATTTTAACATTTATAAAATTATTTTTATATTGATATGAAAAATTTTAAAATATTAAGTCATAAAAAAAAAAATTAAATAAAGAAAATAAATTTTTATATTAATTATAGAATAATATTTTTAATAAATAAATATATAATAAAAAAAAGTAACTGAAAAAAAATTATACTCTATTTTAATATTACTAATCTGTAAAATATTAATATAATATAAAATATAAAATTAGAGAAAAAAAAATAATATATAAATAAAATAGTATTATAATTATATCTTTTTTTTATAAAAAAATTTAGATTTATATATAAAAAATAATTAAAATATATAATTAATATATTTTTTAAATTAGAAAAAAAAAAAAAAAATTCAAATTTAAATTTTAAAAAAATATTCATATATATTATATAATATATATATTTATATTTTTATGTATATATATATATATATTTATTTAGATATATTTTTTTTAATTAAATAAAATCAAATTTAACAAAAAAATCATAATTATTTAGAATTATATAAAAATAAAAAACTTTTCTTTTAAGCTTAATAAATATAATCTAAAATATTTTTATATAATAAAATTAATAATATATTTATTTATTATTACCGCCTTTTTTATTATCAATTATATATATAAGAATTTATCAATTAAAAGAATCATTTTATTTATATAAAAATAAAAAAACTATCAATTTTATATTTAATAATATTAACTATATATATAATAAAAGGAAAAAAAATATATATATATTATTAATAATAATAAAATAAAAAAATTTATAAAAAAAATGTATTTTTTATATATTATATAAGACGAAAATTAAGGCTTTTATATAGCCAAAAGTGAATAAGAATTAAACTTAAAATAAAAAAGAAAACCTAAAAGGAATAATATAGGCTTTATAAATTAAAAGAAACCAACAAGTAATACTGTTTTGAATAAATGAAGCGTATACATTCAGTTTTAGGAGAAAAAATACTCGACAAAATTAGTAATACAGCTTACAAATTTAACTAAAAATCAAAAAACTTTGAATTTAAAAAATTAGAGTTCGAAAAATTGTAAATAAAATATGGAAAAAATGAAGAAGAAGAAGAAGAAGAAGAAAATACTGAAAAAGAAGAAGAAATTTAATAAAAAAAAGTAGAAATTCTAAACATAAAATGGATGAAGAAATTCCTTAAAAAAAAATTTACGAAGTGCATCTTTAAAATAAAAAATGGAAGAAGAAGAATAAGAATAAGAAAATATTTAAAAAAAAATGTTAGAAGTACTTCTTTAACATAAAAATAAAAAAATAAAAATTCATAGCAAGAAAAAGAAAAAAATGAAGATTTAAATAAATAAAAAAAAGTAATTAATAACACTAAAAAAACTAAATAAAAAACAGTAGAAATTTAAGAAAAAAAAACAAAAAGAAAAAGAACTAAAGTAAAAAAAGAAAAATAGGAAAATTCAGAAGAAGAAGAAGAATAAGAAAAATAAGAAGAATAAGAATAATAAGAAGAATAAGAAGAAGAATAAGAAGAAGAAAAAGAAGAATAAGAAGAATAAGAAGAAGAAGAGGAAGAAGAAGAAAAAGGAAAAAAAAAAAAAAAAAAAAGATTAAGTAGAAAACAACCAATATAATATAAAAAAGGTTAATTTAATAATAGAATACCTAAAATAATAGAAGTAAATGAAATGTTTGATTCTCATTCAAATAAAATAAATGAAGATTGTTGTGTGAGATGTACTAATTATGAAGTATATATATATATATATATATATATATATATATATATATATATATATATATATATTTATATATTTATATATTTATATATTTATATTTATTTTAATAATAGATTATAAGAGCAATAAATACTGGTAATCATTAATTATTAAAATCATTATTAAATTCAAATAATAAAGTAATAAAATTTTATATAATTAAAAATATAAATATAAATATTAGATTTCTACATTATTCCCAATGCAAGGTCCTGATGCCTCTCATACATCCCTTGAATTAATTTTTAAAGAAAAAGATAAAAAATCTTTATAGATATTTATTGAAGCTTTACAAAATTAATAAAATATAATTTTTTCAACTAATCCTGCATGTACTTTAGATGAAATATAAACTGGTTATAACGACCGTTTTGCTTATGGAGTTGTGACTAGAAAAGTACACTGTTCTAGAGGTGGTAAAGAGGGCAATAATGCTTTTGTGGCAGATATATAGAATTAGATTCATAATTGGTCTTAAGACAATAAAATTATTAATTCTCTTTTATAAAATGAACAGGAAATCGAACTTTTAAATTTTTTAAGAATTTTAAAAGATGATTAAATTACACGAAAACTCTTTTCCAGTATCCATATTGCTGTTCGCGCTGGAAATAGAAAATTAGCTGCCTTTTTAATCGAATAGGCTAATAAATTCGGCGGATATGGATTTAATAAAGTACATGAATAAGTACTTAAATTTGATGATATTTAGAATTTAGAGGATTTTAAGAAAGTTAGTGCAACTAAAAAATCCATAGGGACCTATGGGAAATACGGAGGGGGGTCTTAGGGTTCTATAACACCTATCTTTTGCGCTGCAATTAACCCTAACGTTGAATTTTTGAAAAAATTACTTGAAATATCACCCGAATATTCTACTCCTGATGACCTTATGAGAAAACCAATACACTACGCTTCAGCGTGTGAAGGCCCTGGACCTTTAAAATACCTTCTCGAGAAAGGAGTCGACTCTCGTGAGGCGGATAGAGCGAAGATGACTACATTAATGATCGCTGCGTAATTTGGCCGACCAAAAAACCTAAAAATACTTCTTGAGATAGAAAACGGATGTAATATACAGGCACGCACACGAGAAGGAATGCGGGCTATTCATTTTGCAGCTTAT